GTTTTATTTTGAAGAATTCAATGCCTTTTAAGACTTTTTAAGGACCCGCGGGAACCCTGATGCACCAACATGGTGCAGTTAGGGACCGTCAACAAATCTTTGAACCTAACACTCTTGAGAAACAAAAATCAATAAATTCCTTATCTTATGACCAGCTGAGACTAAACTAGTATAAAATCCTGCCAGTAGATAACATATGTAAGGCAGACTTGCTTTTATGCAATTTTAAGATATTTTTAAAGAAATAAGTTGGGACTTTTCTTCAATAGCTTCCAGGTCATGTGACCCACTGACTCTAAATCTATTTTAAATTGTTCTACTACTTCAGCCAGATGGGGCACAATCATTTATATTCCTTTTTTGCCTTGCCGTGCTTAGGGTAGGACCCGTATACTGCAGGAGGCTGTAGATCGAGTGGCAGGAGGTTAGAGGAAGGAAGCGCTCTGTTGAATCATAAGCTGGACAAGCTGATTAGCCAATCAGAATACAGAACTCTGCATATGATGGAAGGCATGAAGATGCTACAGGTCTGAGCTGCTTTAAGGCAAACTGGGTCTGAAAACCTGTAGAACTGCATCCCGGCGTCGCTGTTTTGCTCACAGTTGTTTCAATCTAAGATCAATGTGAGGATGATGATGATGTGTGTTTCCAGCACGGCGCCTTCGTCCTGCTCTACCATCCCTGCTCGTCGCTCCGTGAGCGACGCCTCCTTTCCGGATTGGCCCGCTCCTGTCTGCCGTTCCACATCGTCACTCCTCACCCGCAGCTGAGCAGAGACACGGTAGGTGGCGCTCTGCTTTGTTTCTGGCTTTAGATCCGGATCTTCCGCTGTGTTTGACTCTCTGAACGGCGGCTGCTCTCCTCAGCCTGTAGCTCTGGTCTCCTGGGGTCGAACTTTAGAGCTGAGCACCTTGGCTTCTTCAGACGTGTGCGACTGGCTGCAGACGACACAGAGCCTTAAAAACGTTGATGGCAGGACGCCGAGCGCGGTGTACAACCTCCTGTTGACCCGGTCAGCAGGCCTGCAGCGTCTGGAACCATCAGAAGGAACCGAGGTCAGAACATCTGGAGAAATTTCTGTTAATTCCTTTAAAAATGATGAAAAAATGAACCTAAAGAAAATCAGTTTTAGTGTTTGGTGTCACACAAGTAGCGTTAACTGCGTCCTTACATCCATAGGATTCTGTGAGGCAGTGCTGCCAGCGGGTCATTTCTGCTCTGCTGAGCGGAACCACCGGGGCAGAGCCTGCTATGAAGCCGGGTTCCTGGAAACGTTTTAAAGAGGGAAGGAAAAACAGGGAAATCCGAGCAGCAATCGGAGAAAAGCAGAACCTCATTAATAGAGCTAATGAAACGGCTAATGACGCCGACCAGATCGACAGAATCGGTGCGGCTGAAGCGGCGGCGGCGGCTCAGAATCACAGCGGCTCCTCTGGAACAGCATCGCATTCACTTCCAGGACTCTCGGATCCAAACCGGACTCCTCCGTCTGAGGTCAGGAAGCAGCAGGCTTCCACATCAGCGCCCACCTCCCGTCCTGGATCCGAGATCGATTCCCCCCAACATGAAGGTACAGACTCCGTCAGAGGCGGCGTGGAGGAGCGGAGCGACAGCGAGGGGCTCCGGGTTCAGGGCAAAACGAAGCAGAAAGAGGTGGTTGATGTGGAAGAAAGGGAAGCAGAGCGGGACCCGGCGCCTGGTGGCGAGCCCCCCCCTCACAGAAACACTAAATCCGGCTCTGCTTCTGAGTCCCAGGCGGAGACTCGCCAGAACTGTTCCGCCTGCGTTAGATCTGGAGCAGGGAGTCGGGCCGCCGCGCTGAACGTCGCTTTGCAGCGGACCCCCAGGACAGACGAAGCGGTGTGGGCGGCGGCGGCGCTGGGCTTCCTGCTGGTTCTGCTAACGCTGTCCGTTCTTCACACCCGGCTGTACCGCCACTGGAGGACCTCGCCCAGCCTCTACTGGCACAACCCGCATCAGGACTACGACAGCGTCGCTGGTAGGTGGCCTGCAGCCCAATCAGACTCCAGTAATGAGCCTTTACTTTAAACCCCTGTCCCACCGAGACCATTTAAGGGCTGGTTATCGTCCCGCAGCAGTGAGCTTGTCGCAGATATTTGTGATTTATTCCTAATATTGAAGCTTGGTCTGCGCCATGTTAATCCACGCCACAACGCCTGAGGGACAATCGGGAACTAGCTGTGGGTCTAGATACGGCCGAGGCGGTGAGGAAGTGGGGGCAAGTTTGTGTGAAAACGGAGGAACATGAGGGCGAAAAAGAGCGGAGATCCAGGTGGAAAAAGGGTCCCAGCGTTCTCACGCACCTCGCTCTTCTAGCTGGTCAAACTTCACGAGTTGTTTTACACAATGGCGGTCATAAAATCAAAACAAGCCATTAAAGGAATAGTACACCCAAAACATGATTAGCCTTCATTTTCTACTCACCCCCATGCTGAACAACACTCTGGAGTACTTTTTTGATATC